CATGTCCGGGAAAATCTGGACGTATGGTAACCCTAGGGGACTGCTCACAGGGCAAAAAAATTGGTTAAAAAAAAAATCATTGTAAGTTGCTGAGAAGATGTAGAGTGTCTGAATAGGTAGAGCATAACATATGTGGTTGTGAGCTGGATTAGCTTTAGTTTTCCAGAAAAAAAATCAAATACTAAGGAGAGCTGGGTTTTGGAAATCCTTACTTAGGTTTACAGGGCTGTGCAGGGCAAAGAGACAGCTAAATTTAATTTTCACTCTTCTGTGCAGCTGCTTTCATTTGCATACACCCACACAACACGGGGGTGAGGGTGAAGGGAGGAACAATGGATTTCATGGCATATATTAATCAGATTGGGACAACTTCCTGCTCCACATACTATATAGACAGTAGTGTAGTTATGTACTAAATAAAAGCCGTAAGGTATTGAAAACAGATTAATTGCTGTGGTGGTAGACAAAGTGTATTTTGTTGAATTTAATTTGCTTACACTGAATGACTGAGAAAATGTTCCATTAACGTCTGTTTATTTTTCATGTATTGATCAGGTCCTAAAATGTTAATTACAGTTCTGTTTGTATTTCACTATGTTTTAAAAACAAATCAGTAAAAGGAAGCCATCTAAAATGAAAAATAGCAAAATGTAGGTATGATTGAAAATTGATTTTTTTACTTTATTGATAATACAGCTACGGTATAAGAATAACATGCTGTTAACTGTCTGCTGTATTATTGGGAATAAGTTTAGACTGAGCTAACCCTAGGGTAAATTTACAAAGATAAAGAACTATTTTAGCTCTCAAATTTGCTCCTAGATGTATAATGCGTAGCTTATAACATGAGCTCTCGTACACTGGAGTACCGGATCGCTTTATAAGTCTTCGATGACAGTCATAAGAATGGCCCTACTGGGTCAGACCAAAGGTCCATCAAGCCCACTATCCTGTCTTCCGACAGTGGCCAGTGCCAGGTGTGCCCTAGAGGGAATGAACAAAACAGGTAATCATCAAGAGATCCATCCCAAAAATTTTTGGTTAAGTTTTAGAGCAAAATCGCTCTATGGCTTCAGTGGAATGCCAGGAGAAAAGGGTGCAGGATGGTGTTGCAAGTGACATAGTGAGGCAGGATGAGCAACATCCTGTTGGAGCACATGGGGCTGTACTAGCAGCTATGCACGTCTACTACACTGCAGCCTACACCATAGTGTAGGGTGGAATGATTTGATGTAAATGGGTCAAAGCGAATCCTCAAGCAGGCCACTGTATATGTTGCTATCAGCCAAAAGTGTAAGTCAGCAGAATATCAGGTGCCATGTTGTTCTTGCTCAGGATTTGGAACAGCTGCCCTATCTAGTAGCGTGATGTTCCCTGGGAGACACTGGACCTAATTCTCTTCTTACAGGTTTAATTCTATTGACTTTCGTGGAGTTATTCCTGCAAGTGCAAAGTAGAGCAGAGTCAGGCCTATGTTGCATTTTGATGGCAGCCAGCTACAATATATATAGTGTGTGGATTTACCACACACACACACACACACACACACTATATAGTTTGTTGGTCAAAGCAGGATTTGCATCATAATCTGCTCAGACTAGAAGTATTAAATTGCTTTTTTAATTTTAGAAAACAAATAGAAGCAAATTTTAGCTTTTCACCAGTCTATTACCACAGCTGCAAATTTCCAGAGTTTCATAATTGTTTGAAAGCTCAGTTTGATTATATTGCCCCTGAAGAAAATTACAGTACATTGCATTTGGTCAATTTCACTAATGGAACAAAATATAATAGCAGACTGCATTTGCAAGAGAATTATGCAAGTTTCCAGATTAAACATTTGTTTTACTTACTATAACAAAATACATTTCCACAACGAATGTTTCTCAAATTGCTTTTTAAAATCTCCTTTGTTTTCAGGCATTGCTATTTCTGATGAACGTGAGAAGGTAAGAGATATTGTGTACCTAATGAATAGTGCAAACAGGCAGATCTTTATGGTAGTTTTAGGCAGTGAGAGTTCAATCTTGCAGTCCTTGCGCATACACTTAACTCTTATTCAGTTCAGTGGGGAGCTGGTTACCTAAGGGCTGTTGAAAGGGCTCATATGTTATGGGCCTGATCCAAAGTCCACTGGCATCAGCGGAAAGTCTCCCATTGACTTTAATGGGCTTTAGCTCAGGCCACGTAAAAGCTATTGAGCTGTACATCTTATTTTGCTTAATTTTGTCTATAGGGATAATTTAATAGGATACCTAAAGCTAAATATTTCCTGTAAGTATAATTATTTTTTATTTGAGATTGTATTTTTGGGTAGCTCCTATTAAATTTAAGTTAAGGTAATTATACTGTTTGTGAACATCTTTAGGAGGATTCTTTGGCCCCAAATCTGATTAGGTGTGCACATGCCAGAAAAACAACATGAATACTAATTTCGCAGTTGCATGCAGTATAAAATGAACTCCTCAATTCTGGCCACTTAAAGTGCTGGAGAGACTTCTCCAAGATAGGGGTTTCAGAGAGGCATGATGGATCTTGCCAAGGAGTCATGTGGGATATGGGGCTGCTATCTACAAATGATGGTGTTTACACACACCTTGTGTGTGTTTTGGCACTGAACTTTCTAATGCTAACATGCATTCTAAACTCAAGTAATCCTGTTAATTATGTTAAGCATGTGCTTATAAGCATTTCAGGATCTGGGCCTTTATTCTTACTTTTTACACACATCTAGAACTGTGTCCAGTAGTAGTTGTTAAATGTAAAAACAAAAGACCTGCTACTAGAACCCTGACAATGTGAATAGTTTGTTTTGAAATGAGTGAGCCAGTCATAATTGTTTTGCCAGTCAAACCTTTGAAATGTCTTTTTTTGTTGAATAGAAGCATTTTGAGTGAAAGAGAATGTTATCCCACAAAATTATTTTTGAGGAAGTATCTAAAAAATACTTACATCAATACATGATGAAGACCTGTTTTTGCCTCAAAACATGCAATATTTTGAAAAGTTATATTTCAATGTGAAAATCACCATGTAATGGGAAGCAATGTATTGATGACATTACTAAGATACTGATTTGTTAAATAAATTTCAGCAAAGACCGTTCATTTGCTACTGTACTTAACTGCTTATTTTGAACATTCTGAAATTATTTTGTTTTAATCCTTGTATACTTTTCAATCATGCAAACGGTTTCACATTTACAGTATTGCATCTGCTTTATCATATGTTTTTGAGGAAAATAGGTAAAGTGAAAAATTAAAGAGAAACCATCACTTTGAAAATTACATTAAAATTTTTATGCAATGTAGTTGTAACTGGGTTGGTCCCATGACATTAGAGAGACAAGGTGAGTGAAGTAATATCTTTTGTTGGACTAACTTCTGTTTGGCGAGAGAGACCAGCTTTTGAGCTACACAGAGCTCTTCAGGTCACCAAAGTTTGTCTCTCACCAACAGAAGTTGTTTCAATAAAAGATATTACCTCACTCACCTTGTCTCAAATTCCTAAAATTACTATAATTGAAACATTAATTTACATATCTTCTCTTTTTTTTGTGTATAGTTAATTTTACTGTTTTGTTGATGAGACAAATCCTTTTCTAGCACCTGCAAGAGGTTTTTTTCCCCCATAAGAGCAGGAGCAAAGCTGACACTGAAAGCAAAGAGTCAGCAGGCAGAGTGTGCACACAAAGAAACTGAAGGAGAGGTCTTGTGATTCACAGATCAATAGATTTTTTTAAGGCCAAAAGGGACCATTATGATCATCTAGTCTGACCTTTGAACTGCAGGAGGAGTCACCCTCTAACACTGAACAGTAACTGTATTAAACATAAAACAGTATTATCCTTAAAGCTGCTCTGTCTCTGCAGCACTATAAAACCTCTCCTGCCTGGCTTAATTTTCATAAAGAAACAGTACACACAACTTCACAGGAGGAGGCATGAGCCTGAGCATGTTCGCTATTATAGATTTCACAAAGGACCCTGCTCAATATAATAAGGGAGCATAATAAAACTGTTTTAAAGAATTTTTAAAATTCAAGATACACTATTTAAAGAATTCTGTATTAGAAAACTGTTCTTTTAATTAGTTATTTAAAATCAAGTTGCATCCTTTCCTGAAATGTATAGCCCTGGGTAGGTTTACTAAAGGTAATTAATAAATATTGAAAATATTTTCAATATTTATTCATAGCTACATCCTAAATGTGAGACACTCAGGTTAAATAGCAATGTTAATAATAGTAGGGTAATGGGTGGGTAATAGGCAAACACTAATTGCACATCTCTGTTCATGTTATTTCACACACAGCCTTGCAAAGGCTAGGGCCAGTACTGCCCAAAAGGGTTCCTGGAAGTATGATTAGTTCATGCATTGATTCGCCAGCTCCTCCAATGAGGGCTGCTGCATTCTGGATGCTGTTTACATTTTCCACTAGGAAAGAGTAGCTTGAAATGCAGCCTGGACTCTGAGGATGTCCTGCTGGCTGCCCAGAAGAATGAGTTGAATCAGCTTTTAGTACTTTGGTTCATCCTCTCCTGGGTCAGAACCTTCCACTTTGGGAGGGCACTGCTAGCTCCAGACCCTCACCTTTATGGAATACAGGTTGCAGCTGCAACTGCCTTCAGGTATACTTGCTCCCAGCATGGGGCCCCTCTGCCGGCCATTGAATTGCCTCTGGAATACAAGTGCCTTGTTTTAGCTTGCATCAGAGCAGAATGTGGCCAAGTACATTTACCATGCAGAGATTTGATGTTGGTCTGATATGTTTACAATGAGTGTCTAATTTCAAATGCAGTTTTATGCATATGAGATGTAATAGTCATATTGCTAACCCCACGTTTTCAAAATGTAATGAGTAAGACCAAAAATCTCATGACTTCTGAATCTCTCTTGTGATGTTGGGAACAATAATATATTGGGGAGTTTTATTTGCCTTTTGTTTTTTGACCCTTTAGGGGACATTTGGGTCACATTTTCAAGCTTTTCTTCAGAAATGTAAGGGCTATTTTTAAAAATAGCCAACATTCTGAATTGGAGGCCTCCAGAGATTGGGGCTTTACATAAAACTCCAAATAAAGTGAAACTTCAATAATATTGTGAGATTTGGCAACAGTGCATAGAAATTCCTTTGCTTCACTCACTTTTGGCAGGGACAGTTAGTAATTGGAGAATGCCAAAGAGTCAGTGATTCAGGATTACACAGGGATGAAGGTGGCCCAGTAAATCATAGCAAGTTTTGACCCCCTCTCCGCTCCCCCCGGCCTAATATTAAAATATTCAATTAGGAGTTTTTTAAGATGCTTTTTCATCTGTTATCTCAAAGATATTTTCATATTCTAATCCTGTAAGTACAAACATACTGCACCCATAAATACGGGATCCATTAAACTATAATCTACAGAGGGGAACAAATCTCAACTTTAAACAGGTGAGTGCTGCACTCGAGAAGTGGCAGAACGCAAGTACCAGAGACACTGAGATGCTGTTCTGGCTCCCCAAAAAAGTGCCAGAACAGTGTCCTGGAGCATTCTGACAAGATTCAAGCAATGACTTTAAATAATCAAATTGGACACAATTCCCTCTCCTCCTCCCCAATCTTATGGAAGACACATGCATATGGCTAAGATTACAGACTGAATCTCTTAAATTCCTACTTATCCTCTAGAAACTCCAGGACACACCATTCTGTGTTCTGTTTGTCCTTTAAAGTACTTGTCAGGCTAGCATTCCAAGGTTTAAATGGGAGATGCAGGTGAAGACCTGACTGCAAATTAAACATTGTATTTTAATTTACTCCATCATTTTGAAGGAACGCTCCAAATAATGCCACAATGTTCTCGATACAATCTTCTCTGACTTCCTGCTTACCACTTACAATGAGGGGCCGTAAAAGTGAAAGGAAAGACATAAATTAGGTCACTGAAGTTTTGATGTGTTGATCTAACATGATTTTAAAATGGAAGCCAGGTTGGCAAACATGAGGCATAACGTGACTTGTTAAACTTCTTTATTAAATTGAGCTTGAAAATGCTGTGATACAAGATGGCCCAGTTCCTACAACTGTTTGAATGTAAGTCAGCATAAGAAGGGCAAACAGCATTCATGTGCTAAATAGTCATATGCAAATTGCACAATGTATGTTGCAGACAGGGCCAGGAGAAAGTTGGTATGAAAAAAGTGTGGATTTTTCCTTGTATGGTAATCCACAAATTTCAGTAAAATTTAAGGCAACAGCTAAAACCATTTTGTTAGCTAATTATAAATTACCCCTCCCCTTCACTCTGTCTCCTTTGGCTAAGAGCAGTTGGAAGTGTTAGCAAGCACTTCAGAGGGGTAAGAGAGGCCATGAGGCTTCTCAGGGAGCTTCCTGTTTCCTGCTGCTTCCCTGAACCCACTTGAGGAGAACAGGCAGTGAACTGAAGTAGTAGGAAACAGTTAGGCCCTTAAGACGCTGATGTCTTCCCTCACTCGGGCCCTGCTACCAGCCTGCTTATTTGTCCCCTTCAACTGAGTGTTGAGAGCCACTATAGCTGGCACAGAACAGCAGTCATGAGTGAAAGAAAAAAATGCCCCTCTGGGGCAGCATTCAGAAAAAAGAAAGCAAGCAAAGGAAGCTTTTCTATCTATGCAGGAGGGAGCTTTCCTGAGATACATAGATACAAATGTTCATGGTGAGCCTTCCGGCCCCAGTGAGGATGTGAGTGATGAGGAGATGCCTGATCTTCCAGTTAGTCAGAGTGCAGGTGACCTCGCAGCTACTGCAGCATCCATATCTCCATCTCAAATGGATGTAACCATGCACATTCCTGAAGAAAAGTGTAGATCAGAGAATAGTGTGGTGGAGGCACAAGAAACAGCTGCTGCTGAGTTTAGTTCCTTAAGTCTAGATGATCCAGGACTGTGGACCCACTTGAGCAGTAGCCTGAGGGACTTCCTTGTACTGC